CAGCGAGGGCGGGCGGGAGGGAGAGCGGCAGCGAGGGCGGGCGGGAGGGAGAGCGGCAGCGAGGGCGGGCGGGAGGGAGAGCGGCAGCGAGGGCGGGCGGGAGGGAGAGCGGCAGCGAGGGCGGGCGGGAGGGAGAGCGGCAGCGAGGGCGGGCGGGAGGGAGAGCGGCAGCGAGGGCGAGGGCGGGCGGGAGGGAGAGCGGCAGCGAGGGCGGGCGGGAGGGAGAGCGGCAGCGAGGGCGGGCGGGAGGGAGAGCGGCAGCGAGGGCGGGCGGGAGGGAGGAGAGCGGCAGCGAGGGCGGGCGGGAGGGAGAGCGGCAGCGAGGGCGGGCGGGAGGGAGAGCGGCAGCGAGGGCGGGCGGGAGGGAGAGCGGCAGCGAGGGCGGGCGGGCGGGAGGGAGAGCGGCAGCGAGGGCGGGCGGGAGGGAGAGCGGCAGCGAGGGCGGGCGGGAGGGAGAGCGGCAGCGAGGGCGGGCGGGAGGGAGAGCGGCAGCGAGGGCGGGCGGGAGGGAGAGCGGCAGCGAGGGCGGGCGGGAGGGAGAGCGGCAGCGAGGGCGGGCGGGAGGGAGAGCGGCAGCGAGGGCGGGCGGGAGGGAGAGCGGCAGCGAGGGCGGGCGGGAGGGAGAGCGGCAGCGAGGGCGGGCGGGAGGGAGAGCGGCAGCGAGGGCGGGGGGGAGCGGAGAGCGGCAGCGAGGGCGGGCGGGAGGGAGAGCGGCAGCGAGGGCGGGAGGGGAGGGAGAGCGGCAGCGAGGGCGGGCGGGAGGGAGAGCGGCAGCGAGGGCGGGCGGGAGGGAGAGCGGCAGCGAGGGCGGGCGGGAGGGAGAGCGGCAGCGAGGGCGGGCGGGAGGGAGAGCGGCAGCGAGGGCGGGCGGGAGGGAGAGCGGCAGCGAGGGCGGGCGGGGGAGGGAGAGCGGCAGCGAGGGCGGGCGGGAGGGAGAGCGGCAGCGAGGGCGGGCGGGAGGGAGAGCGGCAGCGAGGGCGGGGCGAGGGCGGGGGAGCGGCAGCGAGGGCGGGCGGGAGAGCGGCAGCGAGGGCGGGCGGGAGGGAGAGCGGCAGCGAGGGCGGGCGGGCGGGAGGGAGCGGCAGCGAGGGCGGGCGGGAGGGAGAGCGGCAGCGAGGGCAGGGCGGGGCGGGAGGGAGAGCGGCAGCGAGGGCGGGCGGGAGGGAGAGCGGCAGCGAGGGCGGGCGGGAGGGAGAGCGGCAGCGAGGGCGGGCGGGAGGGAGAGCGGCAGCGAGGGCGGGCGGGAGGGAGAGCGGCAGCGAGGGCGGGCGGGAGGGAGAGCGGCAGCGAGGGCGGGAGGGAGAGCGGGCGGGAGGGAGGGAGCGGCAGCGAGGGCGGGCGGGAGGGAGAGCGGCAGCGAGGGCGGGCGGGAGGGGAGGGAGAGCGGCAGCGAGGGCGGGCGGGAGGGAGAGCGGCAGCGAGGGCGGGCGGGAGGGAGAGCGGCAGCGAGGGCGGGCGGGAGGGAGAGCGGCAGCGAGGCGGGCGGGCGGGAGGGAGAGCGGCAGCGAGGGCGGGCGGGAGGGAGAGCGGCAGCGAGGGCGGGCGGGAGGGCGGGCGGGAGGGAGAGAGCGCGGCAGCGAGGGCGGGCGGGAGGGAGAGCGGCAGCGAGGGCGGGCGGGAGGGAGAGCGGCAGCGAGGGCGGGCGGGAGGGAGAGCGGCAGCGAGGGCGGGCGGGAGGGAGAGCGGCAGCGAGGGCGGGCGGGAGGGAGAGCGGCAGCGAGCGGGAGGGAGAGGGCAGCGGGCGGGCGGGAGGGAGAGCGCAGCGAGGGCGGGCGGGAGGGAGAGCGGCAGCGAGGGCGGGCGGGAGGGAGAGCGGGCGAGGGCGGGCGGGAGGGAGAGCGGCAGCGAGGGCGGGCGGGAGGGAGAGCGGCAGCGAGGGCGGGCGGGAGGGAGGCGGAGCGAGCGGCAGCGAGGGCGGGCGGGAGGGAGAGCGGCAGCGAGCGAGGCAGCGGGCGGGAGGGGAGGGAGAGCGGCAGCGAGGGCGGGGCGGGAGGGAGAGCGGCAGCGAGGGCGGGCGGGCGGGAGGGAGAGCGGCAGCGAGGGCGGGCGGGAGGGAGAGCGGCAGCGAGGGCGGCGGGAGGGAGAGCGCAGCGAGGGCGGGCGGGAGGGAGAGCGGCAGCGAGGGCGGGCGGGAGGGAGAGCGGCAGCGAGGGCGGGCGGGAGGGAGAGCGGCAGCGAGGGCGGGCGGGCGGGAGGGAGAGCGGCAGCGAGGGCGGGCGGGAGGGAGAGCGGCAGCGAGGGCGGGCGGGAGGGAGAGCGGCAGCGAGGGCGGGCGGGAGGGAGAGCGGCAGCGAGGGCGGGCGGGAGGGAGAGCGGCAGCGAGGGCGGGCGGGAGGGAGAGCGGCAGCGAGGGCGGGCGGGAGGGAGAGCGGCAGCGAGGGCGGGCGGGAGGGAGAGCGGCAGCGAGGGCGGGCGGGAGGGAGAGCGGGCAGCGAGGGCGGGCGGGAGGGAGAGCGGCAGCGAGGGCGGCGGGCGGGGGGGGAGAGCGGCAGCGAGGGCGGGCGGGAGGGAGAGCGGCAGCGAGGGCGGGCGGGAGGGAGAGCGGCAGCGAGGGCGGGCGGGAGGGAGAGCGGCAGCGAGGGCGGGCGGGAGGGAGAGCGGCAGCGAGGGCGGGCGGGAGGGAGAGCGGCAGCGAGGGCGGGCGGGAGGGAGAGCGGCAGCGAGGGCGGGCGGGAGGGAGAGCGCCAGCGAGGGCGGGCGGGAGGGAGAGCGGCAGCGAGGGCGGGCGGGAGGGAGAGCGGCAGCGAGGGCGGGCGGGGGGAGGGAGAGCGGCAGCGAGGGCGGGCGGGAGGGAGAGCGGCAGCGAGGGCGGGCGGGAGGGAGAGCGGCAGCGAGGGCGGGCGGGAGGGAGAGCGCCAGCGAGGGCGGGCGGGAGGGAGAGCGCCAGCGAGGGCGGGCGGGAGGGAGAGCGGCAGCGAGGGCGGGCGGGAGGGAGAGCGGCAGCGAGGGCGGGCGGGAGGGAGAGCGGCAGCGAGGGCGGGCGGGAGGGAGAGCGGCAGCGAGGGCGGGCGGGAGGGAGAGCGGCAGCGAGGGCGGGCGGGAGGGAGAGCGGCAGCGAGGGCGGGCGGGAGGGAGAGCGGCAGCGAGGGCGGGCGGGAGGGAGAGCGGCAGCGAGGGCGGGCGGGAGGGAGAGCGGCAGCGAGGGCGGGCGGGAGGGAGAGCGCCAGCGAGGGCGGGCGGGAGGGAGAGCGGCAGCGAGGGCGGGCGGGAGGGAGAGCGGCAGCGAGGGCGGGCGGGAGGGAGAGCGCCAGCGAGGGCGGGAGGGAGAGCGCCAGCGAGGGTGGGAGGGAGAGCGCCAGCGAGGGCGGGAGGGAGAGCGCCAGCGAGGGCGGGAGGGAGAGCGCCAGCGAGGGCGGGAGGGAGAGCGCCAGCGAGGGTGGGAGGGAGAGCGCCAGTGAGGATCGTAGGCAATGAGGGACAGTGGTAGTGAGGGAGAATTGAGGAATTTGAACTGTACAGTATAAAAAGTTTTTGAAAACAGTGTGAAGGGAATGAAACAAATAAATTAAAAGTGTCTTTTGCAAAGGCTTCCAAGAAGCCTTTGCTCACATTGCACCACCTGCACCTCACTCGTCACATGTTGACCCAAATGCTTCAACATCTGAGGTTACCCCCATCAATCATTATTAATCTCCACTTCAGTCAACCCAACACCATCAACATCCACCACCACCTCTTCCATGTAAATAACAATGCTCCTTCAACAATGATCATCAAGATAACATGTGGATCAGGACTTATCTTATTAGCGAGCATAAACAAAATACTGTCGCATTAATGCTATGAACCTGTTTATTTTTTTTACCTAGATTTACATTCCACTTTTACAAACTTACAGGTTAACCAACAAGTCTCTGCCCCGAGGGGTTTGCAAAGCACATGGTCATCTGCACATGTTTATAGTGGTGACATTCTTTGATACGTGGGCGATACGACCATGTAGCCGGGCACCAGCACTTGGGTGGTCAAATACTGTACTTGGTTAGAGCTATAAGTTAAGCCCCTTTCATATTTTAGATAATAGCTTAAAGTACAGTACTGCATACAAGTCCTGTAGTATAGCAGTCTAAGTTGATGGCTCTCAATCAAGGGTTTTAGGTTCGAATCCATGGTAAGAGATGGTTGAGCAAGTTCCCTTATATCTGACATCTCTTATTCATCTAGTAGCAAATAGATACCCAGAAGCGAGACATTTGATGTGGATAAAAACATGGGAACTGAACTGTTCACCAGTTCTAATTTCTGTCCAATGGGTAAGAAAAAGACTAGAGTTTTGAAAATAATGTGATCCTGTTATATAAAACGTCCTTTGCCACCAGCCAGAGATATGTATATTTATATATTATTTTGTTAAATTGGTGGTTTACTAATGCATACATGAAATGAGCAGCATTGTGCAGCCAGGTATAAAAACTCTGGACGGAACAAGTCACCAAAAAGGCATAACATGAATCCAAGAATACACTAACGTAATAAATGCTGTGCCTTAATACAAAATATCTCTCATATCATGTGCTGTACATTCAATGTACTTGGTAACAAACAGAGAAAATCACTTGGTTTGAAATTAGAAAAAAAATTAAAGTTTCCTTGACAATTCATGAATATAAAGTAATCATCTATTTCAATATGCAGGCAACAATAATGGAGAAAAACTGAATGAAGGTTGCATTCAAAGTGCACCAAATGGTAAGAGCAAAACAAAAAACACATCTTAAGACTCCCAAATACAGTAGAGTAATAAATAAAAGCTATTCAAAACAGCTAATACTTCAGATAAAGTAGATTACTCTTTTTTGTAAAATCAGACAGTAATAAGCAAGAATAAAGGAAAGTATTTTCAACAATTCCAGCTGCCTCTTAAAAAAAAAAATCTTAAAGTTAGATTTAGCTTGTATGTTATAACATTGATTTTCAGACAATTGCAAAGAAAATTCAGTGAAATCTTACATTAACTATTCCATCATACTACAAAGTCAAATTAGGTTACCATGACTCACCAGGAGGGCATCTCTGTCCCAAATTGTGTTTTGCTGATGGAGTAAAGGGAGGTTCAGGAATAAAATGTTTTGCCGAATGTTTAGGAGACATGCAGGACAGTAACCTTATTAATGAAGAATAATTGTATATACAAGGCTTTGAGTGTAGATATGTAAGCAAGGGACACATTTGCTCCCTTAAGCCAAGTAATGGTGTTTGCTCAGTGAAGGAAGTTTAATGTACCGCATCAGTACAACATTAAACTTGCCAGACGTCTTTCTCTAGGGTTACATTGGTGCAAGGGAGAAGCTAAACATTTAAATAATTTTGTCAAGCTGCAAGCAGCCGCATCAAAAAGCCTGGTTGATCAGACCAGCAACTAGGAGGCCTGGTCAGAGACTGGGCCAAGGGGACGTTGATCCTCGGAATCAACAGGTTGTCAGGTAGTCTGAAATGATCTTTAAAAGACTACGTGCTACTCAACACTAAGCCCTTCCAAGTACTACGTGGCATCAAGACACTGTCAATTCACCAGCGATTAACTGGATGACCACCACCTCATTCTGATAGATAGGAAATTCCCTCAAAGTAAAATCAGTGCAGAAGGAATGGAATGAAAGCAAACAATTGCTCAAAAATAAATTTGTTTATGATTATAAACCTGATTTCTGAGCTGTACCATTACTACTCCCTTAGGCAAGTTAGAGAAGGTTAACCCAGAAGGTTAAAACTACCAATAATAAAGGCAATTCAAATGTTTGAACTTGCATGTGGAGCCGACTGATAATAGATGAAGCTGCAGTAAAGGGAGGCAATCCACTTACCAGGAGACTCAAATGTTATTTAGAACCTGCCCCAAAAGTCCTCTGAAAAAAAAAAGCTTTGGTATACAAATCTTAGGGAAGTACTGGGACACAAACGTACACTTCAATCTCCAACATCCTAGAGCCTCTGAGTGCAGAACACCATGCAACATTTTCAGTTAGGCAAACTGCCATAGATCATAAGCATCGGGATAAGCCTGCAACTGGCAAAGATTGACTGGTGTGTGCAACAGGTGGTAGAAACTGGCCTTGGAACAGGGCACTATGTTAAGTTACAGATAACATTACTTTAAAAGCAACAAACGGCCCAAAGACAATACTGTATGCGAGAAAAAAGTAGAGAAGGAAAGCTAGTCAAATTAATATGGACATAGGAACTAGCCAACCCATGGCAGGAGCAAGCAGCAGGATTCAGCAGAAATACTGGGCAGAGAAGGATGCCTCGGCACCAATCTTAGGTTTGCCCCTGTTCACCCATCAGTAATCAAGATGGTTGCAAACTGAATGGTGTATCAGGGAAAAAATAAGCCTCCCCAACCCATAAAAATGGAAATGGGTAAGAATCTGCAATGAACCCAATGCCAATATTTCAGTGCACGAGCCCTTAGCTTAGCAGCATTATACAAACTGCCAAGACTGGGGTTCTAGCTGTCACAACCCATATCTGACAGTCGATACACATCGCCAAAAACCACCCTGCACCAAATGGGAGGAATGCCGATTACAACATTGCTCACCATCAAGCTCCAAACACTGTTTAGGACCCTGCAAAACTGCACCATCTAAATTACACTACTCCTCATGGTTAACTTGAGACCACATACTCAGCCACTGTATATACTAGGTCACAGGGTGACCAGGGTCCAGCCTACAGTAGAAATAAAACAGCCAGTTGTCTAGTGTTCTAGGCATATCCAAACGAAGGAAACTCATGACAAACAAAAACTCAACAAATACAATGGTCAAATATGACCTGACACACACACAATGGCATACATATTCACACTAAAGGTGATACGGCAACCAGATAAACTATGCACACAGCACAATTAACTACATCCTGGCACAAAGTCCTAAAAAACTGCAAAAGTAATAAGAAAACTAACCCCCCCCCCCCCAGGCACTAACAGCATAACAGATGATAACTCTGTAAACTGTGGGTTGCCAAGTGCAAAGATGCACAATGCTTGTGAACACACATGCACAGGCAGCACCACGACCCCACTGGCCAAGTTTTTAAGGACAGAAAACAAATTACTTGACCAAGTTTTGCTTGTGTGCATATCCACCAACCTACAGTGCACACAAGAACAAACTACAGGAATGTAAGATAGGCAGAATCATAGAATGTAGAATAAGAATGTCAATATGTAGGGGCTGCCGTGTAGTGGCAGCAACTGGGCCACCTAGTGATTAGCAAAGCACCCAGTTGGTAGTCCCCGATGCCAAGTAGAACTTTCAAAGACCTTGAAGGTAATTTAGTGAGCCTTTTCGAGGTCATTCTGGACTAGACTGAACCTTTTTTCAGCATTTCCTTTGCACCAATAAAACCAAACAGGTACTGTATTTGAAGAGATACCCAGTGTGCCAGTGAGGAATGTTGAAGTATTGTTACTATGTACAGTCCTATTTGAGATCAGCAAGGCCTTGCCTAAGGAAGCAACTGAGTAGCATCACTCAGAAATTGGGTTTAACATCTAGTGTGAATTATTTTGTCGATGGCACAAGACCAGACATAACTAACTGAATTCTTATACTTAACTCTGAAAATTTAACCCGAGATTTAGCATTAATATTCTGAAATTTGTGGATAAGTCATCATTATTTTAAAACTTAATTTTATAATTCTTAAAACTAATTTGTAATAGCCATATTAATTTTAAATTCTTAAATCTAATTTGTAATATTAGCCATATTAATTTAAAGGTCTTAAAACTAATTTGAGATACAGAATTAACCAGTCTTAGGAACTAGAGTCAACATGGGTGAGCTTCCAGTCGTCGTTTGATAGTGCAGTTAACATTTAGGAGCAACACGCTTCTTGTTCCAAAGTGAGGCAATTTTCAAGTTTAGTATATTTATTAGCAGGAAAAAAACTGACATTTTATAAAAACCTCAAGATGAACAGTTTATTGATAGACGGTTAAAATTTAATAAAATATCTATATTATCAAAATACACTTTACCATAAAGCTAGTAGATAGAGAGAAAAAAGACGTCTAGAATCAAGCTTGCTTTCAGCTTGTATGCACAATACTAGCTTCTTAGGACACGTGTTCTCTGATGAACAAGCTTGACGAAGAAACAGTCTAGAACCACCATTATTTACACAATGAAATCACACTAACATGATGTATCCGTGAGAAAATCTTTGGAGAAGGACAGCGGGATCCAACCAGGTTCCCGGATCACCCCCCAGATGTGAACTTTAACGTACAGACGACGACATGCTTGAAGAATATCGTGATCCATAGGATAAGGCACATGTCTGGGATGACCCAGAATGCTGGCTCAATCCCAATGTACTGCTTGGAAGACTTTCTCGCCATTATTTATCGTGTACTGTGCTACATTAAAGCATTCCAGGTAATAGGGGTAGACAAAGCTAAAATATTCATTCAATAGCAGTTTGACACACAGTTTTCTAGTGTATTATCCTGGGTTTTAATTCTATTGTTCTTCAAAATTATTGAATGAGTAAAACTGCCATTTTATAGGACAAAATATGCACTACGGAAGCCTCTAAAACATTCATTAAAATGTTACCACTGGAGTACCTCTCCCTCTGTTGCGTCATCCGAATCGGACTAAACAAACATGAATAAAATAATGCGTTAGGAATAAGTGTGTTAGTGTATAAGCACAACTCAAATGACATTTGATATTAGTAATATTGAAAAATTAAATTGTAATCAAATTAAATGTACTATTAGATCTTTTCATAATATTGAAAATAAAGCCAAAATTACATAATAGCCTCATACTGTGTTACTATTCAACATTTAGTAATTGTTTTGCCTTTAAAGTAACAAGTGATTATTACAGCAAGTGATCTATTATCCATAACCCGTGGGTCCGATGAATCCTGAAAATCCAATTAGAGATAAAAGAATTATAAAAATGCAATGCCAAGCCTTGAAGACTACTTGGCACCGAGGTGAATAACTACTGAACAGCAATAGTTACTCAACTACTGCTGTGTATAGAACATTAATACGGTATACAACATTAAGCCTATGGTTATTGGTCTCAGCCTATGGTTATTGGTATTTGCAGCATCTCTTAGCTTTTTAACTGTATACAAAGAGCTTACCTTATTATCAAATACAAATATACAAATATCATATACAGTACAGAGATTATTATCCCCTCACAATGCACCTAAACAATTATTGGCTATCTGCAAAGGAGATTGTATAAAAAAAATCTAGCAATGACATTGATGTAGAATTAGTTATACATAATGCACTATGTATGCATGCAGCAGTGTGTGTGTGTGTGTGTGTGTGTGTGTGTGTGTGTGTGCATGTTTTTACTGTATTTCTATCTAGCATAAATTTCCAATTATGTACACCATGAAAATTACACAAATGAAGCAACATCAGCAGCACATTATAGTCCTTAAACTATGCAGACCCTCACTAATTTTCTCCTATGTTCCCTCCATTTCAATATTTTCTGCACAACCCTCATAATTGTTGCAGTTTATGTCACCATCACATTCTTCTCGCACAACTTGCTATATAGGTTGTTACAATTTGTTAGGTGTTAAAACTTGTTCGAACGTTGCAGCAACGTCATAGTTTCGGCGTGTGTTTGGCGGGTACTGCCTTCATATTTTTGTGACTATCCAGTTCCCTTATACTTTCTCTCTGACTTATTCTTTTCCAACTTGAAGTTTGTTGAATCATACAGATACCATTCTCTTCTTATCCACTTGAGAGGGAAGACTGCCAGTGATTACATAATCACGGTCACTAACTTCCCTATTAATTTATTCACAAAGTGAAGTTGGTCCTAACCTCTCGTGTTGTCCCCACCCCCCCACCCCCCTCATCCATATTCTCTCACTCTTCAACCAGCTTCTTGACCAGACTATCTCAGTTCTACAATGTAATCGAACACTATAATACAGCAGGCAGTGTGCGTGCACGTGGGTTTTTGTGAATGTGTGTACAATGAACACAGTATAAGCAGGTATGTATAATGTGTACAGTAAATGTGTGAAT